AGATCTCACCCTGGGTCAACACACCTGAATCACATGATGAGTTCATTACCAGGCCTCTGGAGAACTTCAGGACATGTTGAGGAGGTCATTCATCCGTTTAAATCAGCTGTGATGGATCAAGGACACATCTAAAACCTGCAGGGACACCGGCCCTCGTGGAGTGGGATTGGGGACCCCTGGCTTAAGCCGTTTAAAATTCATCTCAGAAATATCATCTCAGGTTTTTTAAAGACGTGTTTATGACTTTTCAGCTGATTCCAGTTGAAGGAGCTGCGCCTGTAAAACACCTTTTTATCAAATTCAGTACAAAAAACAGAAAAAATGAAGAAACATTGACGAGGTCCTGCTACCTGTATTATATTTATGTCTATATTTAAAATTTTACCATTTTTATTGTCATAAAACCAAAACACAAATATTTTAAAAATCTGCGAAACACTAAAACGTATGTTACTTATTAGAAATAATGAACTGAATTCCTATTTTTACAGTCTGAGCCGACACGTCTGTGAGAACTGAGAAGTTATCAGTCCAGTTTGTATGTTAATGGAACGATAACCACAACGATAACCATGACGATCATGTGCTTCACTCTCGTTTCTCCTTAACCCTTGGTAGGACCTCCGGCCATTTATCATCCACACGTTTTTTTAATATTAGGCCATTTTCACTGTGTTGAATAGAATATAGCCAAACCTCCCAACCCCTTTTTTTTCGTTTTTTCTTTAGAATTGCCGTCTCCGTTTATTCGATTAGCTTAAGGTGGCTAAGCTAAAAACCGACATCCACTAGAGGACCAAAAGCCATAAATCGCCCCATTGAAACCCTTTATAAACGCTATTTTTCACTGCAGAATTATTACCGTTAATATCTGGGTGGCGGCTTAGGTTTCGTTTTCATTCTGGACTCAAGGCCTTAGAATTGTAATTTTTTTATTTGGCCACCGGGTGGCGCCCTTGCTCCACATTTGATCCCTGCTGGAAAACAGCGGGCTTCTTGGAAAGACCTGCGGGAAATGAAGCCTCATTTTCGGCGTGCAGCAGCGGCTTCGCCCGGTGATCGGACTGGACCATTTTTTGGTCCCTAGGACCACGAGAGGGTGCTTTTTTTTTCTCAGTCAACAGGAAATGACGTATTTGTTGTCACGTGGTATCGGACGTGTGGGCTGGAAAAAGCAGTCCCCGGTGATCGTGCCCCGGTGATCGCCGCGACGTACCCCGGCAACATGCACTTATTTCGGCCTAGAGGAGGAGCATTTGCCGCCTGGAGACCATTTTCTGGTCCTGAAAAAAAAAATAAAAGGCGATCGAAATGACTGTTGGTGTCAATCTTTGGTCCATCCAAAGGCCTAATTAAAAGTACAATAAAATATAACTTTCAAATGTATTTTATGGAAAATATTTCATTTTTTCCGCCAAAAACGGCCGTGCGCTCATGTGACAAAACCGGGATATAAAGGGTTAAAATCCGCGAAATGTAATTAAAACTTGACATGAATATTTCAAGGAGAAGTAGGTCTAAAAGATTGGCTAATTTAAAGTGGAATAAAATATTAATATATAAATTTTTTATAGCACTTTTTTGGGCGTGGTCGATTGGGACCGATAGTGTGTGCATTTTATGAAATGCGCTCCTGCAAAAAAAAAAAAAGGCGATCGAAATGACTGTTGGTGCCAATCTTTAGTCCATCTAAAGGCCTAATTATAATAACAATTGAATATTACCTCAAATGTTTTTTTTGGAAAATATTCAAGTTTTATGTTTTTTGGGGCAAAAAAAGCAGTGCGCTCATGTGACGAAACCGGGATATAAAGGGTTAAAATCCGCGAAATGTAATTAAAACTTGACATGAATAGTTCAAGGAGAAGTAGGTCTAAAAGATTGGCTAATTTAAAGTGGAATAAAATATTAATATATAAATTTTTTATAGCACTTTTTTGGGCGTGGTCGATTTTTGGCTCTAGGACCTCATAAGGGGTACGTTTTTTAGGTCCTACCATTAAAGAGTCACCGTTAAACATAAAGAAGAAACCGTTTATTTATGGCTGCTGTGGCATCAACCTGACAACAGATTTGATTTCATTATTTATAGTTCCTGAAATCTCTTGGTTTGCTTATTAAAATACAATTTTACAATAATCATTTTTAACTTTTTTAATTTCAGTATTTTACTTTGTAATTGACTTTTTTAATTATTCATCACATTCCCCGTTAATAATTATTATTAAATCACAATTAAGGCGTTTTTTTAAATTCTAATATTTATTCATGGTGCTTTTATTTTGATCTTTTTAATATTGTTTTGAAAAACATTTTAATTATAATTTAGTCATTTTAAATGTTTAAAATATTTGCTTTTTTATTTTAAACATATTTTTAAAACAATCAGTCTATTAATATGTAATTTTATTTACAGCTTAATTAATGTCATTTTTAACACAAGAAAAATCTATTCTGTGTTTATCACATTATTACAGGAGCTGATTTATTAACAGTGCTTTGTCTCAGTTGGACGCTCCGTTCATGTGACCTGATGATGTAATTGGTGTGACATCATATGACCTACGTATGACCTGCAAACTTCCTGTTAACTGCTTTCATTTAAAACTTTTCCTGGTCATCAACCGTCAGCGAGCACCTGCATCCTCTTTGCTCTCTGTGCAGCGCTGCCACCTGGTGGTGAAACACGGCAGCGCACAGACACGCCGAGCCGTGAAGTTTCAGGTGCTTCCGGTTTATTTCAGGCTACAGGTGCGTGACGCTAAAAGCCAAAATGAGCACCCATAGATTATTACATATCACATGAAAAACATATTTACAAATATAAATTAACACATATTTCACCTCCAAAAGACACGGCGATGGTTTCAAATGGTACAAAACTGCTAAATATATATATGTACATATATAGAAGTGATTATGGGATGTCTCATGAGCTTATACTGCACGTAGTGCACGAAACACTGTCGATACCACACTGAGAACGACACACATTCGTAACAGCTTTGGTCCAAAGAGAACTGAAAGACGACGGCTGGAGGAAACTTCTTTTTTTAAACATGCTGCCCTGGAAGAAGCCACGTACGTCCAACAAACACAAATGTCCTCCTGGAGCTAATCCCGCCGAGCGGCGGTCCAACAGTCCTGCTGTGAGGGGGGAACCTGAGGCACCGGAGAGGCGCTGTCCACCTGTGAGTCCAGACCCCGTTTAGACACCCATCAGAGCTGCAGACCTGACGAGGCGAGCACACAAAGCCTCCTGAAGGACGCCAGAGTAGTCGGACTGTGCTGTAAGCGGCGCAGCACCAAAACGCATCCGTGACGCGACCCGAGACGCTTCAGCGATGTGAGAAAAACCGAGCGGACGGTTTCCATCATCTTTTTATCGGGCGACTGAACAAAAAGGATTTTCGGACGAGAAACAAACATAGTGGCGTGGTTTCACGTGGCGCCGAGCGACCGCCGACACCTCGGAGCCGCTGGCTGTGACAGTCAGTGACTGTGGGTGTGGGCGGCGTGTCGCTCAGAAACAATCGGATCAACAATTCTGTCTTCCAGGGTTTTTTGGCTGGTCTGTGGGGAAGCTTGAGTTATCCCCGGTGATCAGGAAGCTCCGAGAAGGACGTCACTTCCTTTCTAAGCAGAAGCAGAGGGTGCAGAAGCCTGCGCCAGCTTCGAGGGGCTTCCAGCCAATGAAATCAATGTGTTATTTACGACATCATCAAAGCCTCATCCTGACTTTGGTTTGGTCTCAGCTGCGTGGGACCTCGGCCTGACCTACTTTCATACCTGAACACCTTCCTGACAAACACCTGACGCTCTCTGTGTTTAAGACAGAGAGAAACCAGAGGTGAGGCGGGAGTGTTTATATGCAGACAACGAGTTTGTTTGCTCGACCTGAGCGTGCTCCGTACAGACGAAACTTTAAACTGCGAGGACGATCCTGCAGGAACGCTGCTTCAAACAAACATACAGACTTTTCCCTCCACGATGGCAGCAACCAGCTGTTAGGTTCATTAGTGTGGAGTCAAACTGTGCTCGTAAATCTTTTTAGAACTTTGTAAACTAAAATATCTAAAGAAACGTTATGTTTGTGCATCTGTAGATGAGAATTTGTGTGTCTAAAAAAATATTTACACAGGTTACACATTTTGTTTGTTAAGGTTACAGATCAGTGTAAACCTCTCTGCTCCCTCTGTCACTTTCAACTTACAAGTACAAATTTTGACCCAATTTTCTTCCTTTCAGCTGATTGGTCAACATCACGTGAATCACAAATTTAACAATCCAATCAGAGAACAGATGGTTTGGCTGTCAGAGTGGAGCTTGACTGAGCTTCGGGTCCTGGAAGGGTAATACATTTTAAAGATGGAGGACAGCGTAATCGTAATTATCGTTACAAGCACAAATTCTCATCTTTAGATACAAAAAAGTAACATTTTCACATCGTTTAGTTTAAAACTGTGTTTGTCAATCAGACGACTCTGAGCCCCTACATTAGCGCCCCCTCTTGGCAGTCGTAATGTATTACATCTCAGAGGAAGGGAACATTTTGTTTTATTGACTTTTTTTAATACATTTTCCGTCCTAACAGGAAGGTCTAAAAAGGTATGAAAGTCGCCTGACCTCTGACCCTGTGAAGGTGACCTGTTTGCAGGTTAAAGGTCGGCAGACTGATCACAGGTGTGAACGGGGTCTGAACGTCAGGGTTCCTACTGCCGACTGTGAGGAGCTTCCTGCTCGATCCGATCTCTCCACCGTGTTTTTGTTTCTTGGAACCGAAGGGTCGCCCTGGAGGCGCCGGGAATGACTGAGTGTTGGATTTCCAGAGAGGTGTAGGAACCCTGAGCTGTTCTAGGAAGCGAGCAGACGCCCGGCTCAGTGGTTCCGGGAGCTGAAGAAGCCCACACTGGTTGGCGACTCCTTCACCGTCACCGTGATGAAGTTGGCTGTGACGTCTGTGACGAACACGTGTTCCAGGAGGCTCCGCGCCGGCCTCCAGTCCGTCTCCGTGTCAGAGTCGGTGGCGTTGTTGCCGCGGCTGGGTCTGCTGTTGCTAGGAAACAGAGCGTCTTCCGTCTCTGACTCGCTGGTGCTAGTCTCGTCGGAGTCGCCGGTGCTGAGCTCGTTCAGGTTCCTGTTCTGAGAGCCGAGCGCGTGTTTACGGCCGTCCTGCCTCACGCCACTATTCCCTCGAGCAGCGCCACCACCCGTCAGTTTGTCCTTCGTCACGCCCTGCTCTGGAGCTCTGCCTCCAGTGCGAGCATCTTTCGCTCCTCCTTTTACGACCATCCCACTGCCACTACTCCGTGGGTTCGCTCTTGCTACCGCTACCCCGCTAGTGTTGCTTCCTTGAAGGCCGCTCGTGGGCGGCAGTTTGCCGACGCTCTGCAGGTTAAGGGCGCGGAGGCTCAGCGCCTGGCTGGCTCTGTCTCGGGGCGACGGCGATGCTGACGATGGCGGTTTGGACAAACTCGTGCTCAGATGCTTGTGTGGAGCCACCCCGCTCTGACCACCGCTGCCATCCTGCCTCCTCTGAGCCAGCAGGGGGCGGTGCACCACTGCGCCTCCTCCAAAGCTGCTGTGCAGTCCCAGCGACCCAGAGGCTCCGCCCTGCTTCAGAGGCGTCACCTTAAAGCCGTCTCCTCTGCCGATCTCCGGGACGGAGCGCTTCAGCTCTGACAGAGAGTTCTTATTCTGTGCGGTGGGCGTGGCTTTGTTTTGGGAGGTGGAGCTGGAGGACAGGGAGGAGGTTGAGAGCGAGCGATTGGTCCAAATGCAGCCGAGCCCACCGGGTTTGGAGGCCTGGGAGAAGGAGGCAGAGGAGGTCTGGGAGGCGGAGCCGGCCTCCTCTCTGGCGCTCCGGCTCAGGCCGGTGTAGGTGAAGCTGGCCGGCTGCAGTGGCTTCTTCACGCTGGCCCGCGGCTCGTCTCTGGGCAGCTGCTGGTGGCGTGGTGGAGAAGGCGGCGGGGGAGGGCGGCTCTTTGCCTGCCTTAGAGCCCTCAGGTCGGGGTGCAGCGGCTTCCTCCCTCGCTTCTTCTTTTGGGGGGTGTCAGGTTTGGCGAGCAGGATCTGAGGCCTCTTCTGAGGGACGGGGTGGACGCGGGGGGCGGGCTTCACCTTCTTTGTGTGCTCTTCATCCTCTGAGGAAGACGAGGAGGCGGTTGATGACAGGCCAGAGGAAGAGGAGGACGAGGAGCGGTCGTCCTTCGTGACGGTGGGCGCTGGCTGCAGAACAGAAACAGAACGGGATGAGCAAGAAGGGTCAGAGGTCATGAGACAGAATCAGGAGGCGGGGTCGGCGTGTTTCACCTGAATCTTTCGAGGTCGGCCTCTCGGCCTCTTTCCCTTCTTCTGAAACAGAAGCTCGCGCTCCTGTTCTCTGGAACAGATCGAAACAAACGTTATTTAAACACGCAGACAGCAAGTCCAAATATTCAACACGTCGTTCTTTCATAAAAACAAGCGTGAAATGATTCGTGAACTGACGCGCGTCACATGTGACAAAGATCTGTCAGTTTGTCTATTTCTTTGATTCTGCTGCTTGTTTCCATTCATTAAAATCATAAATATATTAAATAGTTACATGTACATATATTTATATTTTTCCTTAAATGAAAGTGACGAGAGACGAGAGCGGTCAGAGAGAGGGAGGGGCCACAGGTTGGACCCGAACCTGGGCGCCTGCTCACCCATCAATATGAAATTACATATTGAATATATATTTATTACATGTCCACATAATATAATTATTAAATTGCAATTTTATTAAATACATTCAATATACATCATTCTTTTAAAAGTAATTTGAATATTTGTTATTATTACTATTAGTGTTTAATACATATTAATTCTTTTATATATTATTTACAGATATTTCTGTTTGAATACTAGAATAATAATTTACTAACATATAATATGTAACATTTTTAAAATACATAACATATAATAACATCCATCCATTCGCTTCCACTTATCCTTTTCAGGGGCGCTGGAGCCTATCCCAGCTGTCATAGGGCGAGAGGCGGGGTCCACCCTGGACAGGTCGCCAGTCTGTCGCAGGGCCACCACACACGGACAGACAACCAATCGCTCTCACGTTCACTCCTATGGGCAATTTGGATTAATCAGTTAACCTGTCCCCACTAACTGTGTGTCTTTGGACTGTGGGAGGAAACCGGAGTACCCGGAGGGAACCCACGCAAACACGGGGAGAACACGCAAACTCCACAAAGAGACCTTCTTGCTGTGCAGCAACAGTGCTAACCACCGTGCTGCAGAATATAATAACATATTTCTATATTTTTAATAATAAATTAAATGTATTAATTACATTATATAAATATGTAAAGTATGTAATATATATATTTTTAGTCTTTTAATAATTTATTTATTGACGCCATCATTAACTTTTTAAAATATATATCTATACATTTATCTTACTGTGACAGTAACGTTTACTAATAATGAAATGTATTATTTCATTAATTACATTTATTTTAATATGCAATTAATTCATATGTATATTAGAGACAAAACACATTTTTGTTATTTTAAATCTTTTTGATACTAATAATCGCAGGACTTTTTATTTCAGCAATTATAACTATCAGTAAAATTAAATATATAATTTATCAATTCTGATATGACATGTTTATATTTTTATAAATATTAAATAATATTAAATACATTTTGTTACTATACAACCTTTCTTAACAAAGTTACTTTTAACTGCTTATTTAAATTATGATTAAAAACATTACAAATATTAAGATGTTTAACTGAATGAGCGGCTGGGAGGAGCTCCCTGACTGCTCCTCTCTCAGGCCCTTCAGGTGAGCTTCCACGCAGGTGGACGTGGAGCACACCTGAGTTTACCTGCAGTCTGGGGACAAACTGACCTCTTGTGAAAGGCTGCCAGCAACCGGGGGTCCAGAATGTTCTCCTCGGGCTCCCAGCTGTTGTGCCTGAAAACACGACAAACATTTCACATTCAGGACGGACACGAGCGGGTTTTCTGTGTGGAGCCATCACGGAGGCCCACGCACAGCTGCCAGCGTTATCCACAAATACAAAACATGTCAGCAAATCAACATCAGGCTGCTCGGTGGCGCAGGACCGGCCGAGCCTCAGCTGCTGCGGTCCTGGAGCTGGACGTGTCCGCCGGCAGGCCGTGGATCGACGCCGGCCGCGGATGGGTCGGTACCGGCCGTGCTTCTCCCCCCGTGTGCCGCGGTAGGAGCCTCGGTGGCGACGCGAACCGAGCCGCGGCCCGGCTTTGTTATGACCGTTAGCCGTTAGCAGCTAGCGAGCTACTTACTTGGAGGACCATCCTCTCCACTTCACCAGGTACTCGAACTTTCCCTGCGGAGACAGAACAGTCACAGCGGGCCGGGCCGAGCGGAACCACACCACACCACACCCGGGCCACCGGCGCTGAGCTTACCTTCCTGGGCCGCTTACTGAGGATACACTCCGCGTCAAACACCTGGCCGACGGTGACCCCCTCCATGGCTGCAGCTCCCCGCACTACCAGCGCGTTTCTTCCTGCCGGCCACCGTACTTCCCCTCACAGCGTCAACGACCAGAGCCAGGCTAGCCGGTGAATCGAATCGGCCTCCAGATTACTACTACTAATAATGATAGCATTATAATTATAATATACTGTAATAATTTATTATTGTTGTATATATTTAAGAACGCTAATTAGAAAATACAAATACATATGAACATAAAAGTATATTTACATTTTTTTACATAATAAAAATACAGAAATGTAGATGAACGTGTGTTTTTAACCTGGTGTAACCTGCAGCAGGCTGAAAGGAGAGAAAAACTCAGAGGTTTCAAGAATGACTTTCTAACATTTTAAACTTCAAGCATCATTTCAGCTCAGAGAAAACAGCTGAGTTTCTCCTGATCCCCTGACGCCGTCATTAATGTGTAAATTCAGGATCCACTCCTGCTACACCAGTTAGCGGTTACAAACCAGCTGATCCTAATGGGAGAAGCAGGAAATGCAAACATGTACAGGCAGAGGTGGAGCAAGACATTCCACTTCTTGCTCCGCCTCTGCCTGTACATGTTTTCAATTTAGTTCAATGTCATTTTCCAGAAGTGAAAGTAAACGTGTGAGGGAGCAGAGCTGCAGTTGCGTCCTCTTTGTCTCTGAAAGAAGATTCAGCCGAGTCCATCAGGTTTCTCTTAGCAGCAGTGGTTAGTGCAGCTGATCGCTCTGTTCATCATAGTCACGTTGGCTCAATAGAAATGTGCTCATATACCCACAGATCCACTGTAGAAACATGGAGCTGCTGTTTAAAGGGTCTCATGTGGCTCTGCTCAGGACTTTGGAATAAACCTCTGGGTGTCCACAAGTACCTCCTATCTCATATTCCTAACCTGCTTTCCTTGACCTCGATGAAAACACTGAGGTCAAGGAAAAGTTGGTAGGAGATATGATAAGGACTTAGGAAAAGAGAAGAGCCGTGTGCTGAGAACTGCAGAAGACGCTGATCTTACTTAAACGGGTTAGGACACATGTTCCAACGTGCCAGTGTTTTATGGAGGTCATATAAACCAAACAAAAACCTAACAAAGAGGCTCAGAGTCAGTTTGTGAGTGAAAATTGTGAGCAGAGGTATTTTTGTAGCTGGCGTTACAGCCTGTGTGTTTGTAGGAGTTTCACGTTCAGGAGGACATTTAAATGAGTCATACAAAAATTAATTTGTATGACATTAAGTTTACTGCCAACTGCACAAAACCTATACCTGTTGTAGTTGTGATATTTGCTGCTAGGAGAGTTTCTTTTCAGGAGCGGTGTCATCAGAATAAATGCATAATCAGCTCAAAGCTGTTATCATAGTGTTCAAACTAAAACAATCCATTTTCATGACTGCTGATCAAATTCAGGGTGCCAGATGAAACTGGGCGAGAGGCGGGGTACACCCTGGACAGGTCCGACTGTGCCATTTGAGCACACACTAATAAAAAACTTCGCAATGCAAAAGACTACTTTTACAATTTTTTTTATAATATTAAATTCAATTAAATTTTATTTATACAGCTCAAATCACAACAACAGTCGCTTCATATTGTAAGGTAGACCCTAAAAAAATACATACAGAGAACAACTCAACATTCATAGAGTTTTGGCGACAGTGGGAAGGAAAAACTCCCTTTTAACAGGAAGAAACCTCCGACAGAACCAGGCTCAGGGAGTGGCGGGGCCATCTGCTGTGATTGGTTGGGGTGAGAGAAGGAAGACAGGATAAAGACATGCTGTGGAAGAGAGACAGAGATTAATAATAGAATAGAATAGAATAGCCTTTATTGTCATTGTACAGAGTACAACGAAATTGGAGTGCCACTCCCTTGGTGCAAGTTTCAATAATAAATATAAATGTAAAATATAAAAAGTACAAAAAACCCCCAAAAAAAACAATCGTAAGTACTCAAACAATAGTATGTACAATATATACAGGATAGCAGCATTAGTATAATGACAGTATGGGTCTGTCATTATACTAATGTCTGCTCTGCCCTTCCTGAAGTCCAAGATAAGTTCTTTAGTTTTCGTGGTGTTCAGTTGGAGGTTGTTAACTGAACACCACTCAGTCAGATATGATTCAGTGCAGAGAGGTCTGTTAACACATAGTGAGTGAAGAAGAAACACCCAGTGCGTCATGGGAATCCCCCAGCAGCCTACGTCTAAGAGAGGATTTAACAGGATTTAACTTAAATTTAACTTAGGTTGAATTAAGTTAAATATTAAATTATTAAATTAAGTTATTTATTTAACTTAAATAACAGGCACTTTAAGTGCCTGTTATTTAAGCCAGAGAGTCGATCAACAGGAAGGGAAATATTATACTGAGACCTCAGTGTGGTCTCTGGACTGTCGCACTGGGAAATGGAAATGAGTACAGCGCTGCAGGTCTGTCAGGCTTTAAATATCAGGGGTGATTTCAGACAGAAGGAGCGCAGCAAGAGTGAAAGAGATAGTTTAGAGATTGTTGGAGGCCAAGCTGAAGATGTTCCAAATTTGCATATTTTGGCTGTTTTCCTTAAAATCACATTTTAAATGTAAAATCTATTTTATTTCTGTCAAATTTTCTCTTTTGTGCTTTAAAAATATTTATTTGATTTATTAACTTATATATATTTTAGGTGCTTTTAATGAAAACCAATTAACTACAAACGACTCCTGTTATTCTGGTATTTTTACAGTGACGTTTGTGTTAAACAACATTTCTCAGCGGATAAATTCAGTCACGTGATCCGTTACCCTGCGAAACTCTGCCGACGGAACGCTTCGCTTGTTGCTATGGGGCCGAGCGGACCACATTGTGTGTTACACCGAAGTGTTTCCGGAATCATGTTTGGTAACTGAGCAGAGGTGAATGCCGAAGAAACTCCACAGGTAACTCAACCATGAAGCTCCCACTGAGCTTCTGTAGTTAGTCTACAGTTAGAGTTTAACAACAGGTGAGTGAGCCGCGTGACGTGTGCAGTCAGCCGCTGCAGGTGTGTGTGTATGTTGTCAGATCGCTTTATTTAAAATCAGATTTATTGAGTGCAGATCTGTGAAGCTGATGATCCCCGATAACGTTTCTGCTCTTTGTGGTTAAAGGAGCTACAAACCGCTAACTAAAAGTCGTTAAATTCAGACTGGGCTCTGTTTTACGACGCGGACTCACACAGCAAAAGATCAGAGACACGTTTTCATGATTACCAGTGTCCGTGGAAATATTCGGCGAAGGATGCTTTTGAAAGGCTGAATAAAAGCAGAAAAAAACTGTTTCCTGTTGCGATGATCGGCTGGGAGAGAAGGTCATCGATACTTTCGACTCGGTTACGTTTAAGGAGTTGATGCTTGTCAAGTGTCACATTGGCCGAATTGAAGAGTGACTTTTTCTGTCGCAGGATGTGTATTTATTAAATATGTGTTTATTTTTACATTTGTTTGTAAGACAAGTGTCTTAAAAGTAGGGCTGCCACGATTTGTCGACTAGTCACGATTACGTCGACTATCAAAATCGTCGACGACTGATTTAATAGTCGACGCCTCGTTTGAAGCTTTGTAAGATCCCAAAAGACGCAGGAATAAGTAGCAGGATTTAAGAGTGTAATAACGGACTGAAACAGAAGATGGCAGCACTGCATGTACAAGGATGCCAGCTGCCGTTAAACCCCGAAGAAGAAGAAGAAGAAGAAGAAGAAGAAGCTGTGTCTCAGAATTCATAGCGCGGCCCAGCTCAGTTTCCAACAATGGCGGCAGCTAGTTAGTTTTAATATTACTCTTATTATTCTTTCTGGGTCACAAAATAAACGTTTAACATATTGTCAGGCGAGAATGTAGCTGTGTAAACCTCAAATATCGGCTCAGTTTATCAGGACACCACATATTTTCAAAAGCGCTCCGACGTTTTCGGAGACGTCTGTTACCCACTAGCTCGTTAGCTAGCCGGGGGCTAGGTCACTAGCGCGGTGAGAACACCGGACTCCCGGCAAATTGTTTTCAAACCCACCGCCATCTTTCGCTACTCAGGTTAAATATATATGAGTCACTTAGATAAATTAAAAATGTTATTGTTTGGCTTTTTTTTTTTAGTATTTTATTTGTTCCTGAGTAAATCTGTTTGTCTGAGATTAAAGTTATAGTTTTTACACAGCTGAATAAACGTAAAGCAGACAGCTGATCATCAGAAGTGTGAGATGCTGGAGAATTTACTCCGGTGTCCTGTTATATTTTAGATAGCAAGGAGTTTATTAAACTTCACCGAAACAATCTGCAAATTTCATTAAAATTGAATAAACTATCATCTTGTCTTTATTTTTAGTTAGCACCTTAAAAGCTTAAAGCTGTAAGCTAATGATAGTTATATAAGAGCAGATGCTGCTGGTGCAATAAGCTGTAGTTTTACGTCCAGTGGATGATGATCTGATTAGTCGACTAATCGCATAAATAATCGGTGACTAGTCGACTATCAAAATAATCGTTTGTGGCAGCCCTACTTAAAAGTGAACCTTTTGTAGATGTAGTTTGGGGGTCAGTGTACTGCTAACACTAACACAGTGTGCAATGTGCGGAATTAAAGAGTGACTTTTAAAAATGTGGAAAAGCTGTTTGATAAAGTTTTAGCACATTAAGAACTTTTGTTACCGGGCAACGTTTCTAAATGTGCACATTTTTGAAGTAGAGTGCAGGTGAATATAAAATAAAAGCTCAGTTTACAGACTGTGATGTATCAACATAAAGTCACCAACATTCAAATGATTCTGTGAACTCTGAATAGCCGGTGCAGTTTGGCATGGTGGCATAAAATCGTGTCGTTTTTGAATGGAGTTTGGTTCATTGTTGTTTTCACCTGACGAGTTAAACATGTGGAGAACACATCTTCCTGTTTATTCCACACTAACTCTGATTGTCGTGCAGGTGAGTCTCAGGTGTGACTGACTGCAGCCATGTTGCTGCCTCTGCTGCTGCGGCCGCCCCTCTGCCTTCCTCAGGCCTCGGTGGTATTAACGCGATGCATCCGGACGCTTCGCTGTGGCGCTCCAAGGGGGCTGCGCTCTCAGGCTAAGGACTTCCTGTGGCGGTGGCGTCCGCAGCGCCTCCACAGTCGGGGGCGGAGCAGGAAGACCCAAAGTCAGGAGGAGGAGTGGAGGAACAGGAACAAGACTGCGCTGACCTACATCGCCGCAGCCGGCGTGGGAATGATCGGCCTGGCATACGCCGCAGTGCCGCTGTATCGACTCTACTGCCAGGTGAGCACACACACACACACACACACACACACACACACACACACACACACACACACACACACACACAGCTGCTGAGAGCTCGTTTGAACGCTCAGCTTCTGTCGCCAGGCAACAGGGCTCGGCGGCACGGCAGTGGCCGGACACGACATGGAGCAGGTGGCGACAATGACGCCGGTGAAGGAGCGCGTCATCAAGGTGACGTTCAACGCCGACAC